AGGCGGGCGCGGAGCACGACCATCACGAGCAGGGCGAAGAGGAGGGCGGAGTGGAGGGTGAAGAGGGAGAGGGTGAAGGGGAAGAAGGAGAATGGGGAGGATGATGATGATGAGGAGGAGGAGGAAGAGGAAGAGGAGGAGGGTGATGCTGATTATGATGATGATGCTGATGATGATGCTGATGATGAACTGAGATGATGTGATGATGACGACTGATGATGATGATGATGATGATGATGATGATGCTGATGATGATGATGATAATGGGCAGGAGGAGGATGAGGATGATGATGAGGATGACGAGGAGTAGGATGATAATGAGGACGAGGATGAGGATGGATGAATGATGATGATGATGATGATGAGGGAGGAGGAGGAGGAGGAGGAAGGAGGAGGAGGAGGGAGGAGGAGAAGGAGGAGGAGGAGGAGGAGGAGGAGGAGGAAGGGGTGGAGGAAGGGGTGGACGGGGAGGAGGGCGACGAGGAGGGGAAGGAGGATGACGACAAGGGAGGAGGAGTGAGAAGGCGACGGGCATGAGGAGGAGGCGGAGAAGGAAGAGGAGGAAGAGGAGGGGAAGGTGGAGGAGGAGGAGGATAACCATGAGGGGGAGGCGATGGAGGAGCAGGACGCGGATGGGGAGCAGGAGCAGAAGAGGATGGGAGGGTTGTCGCGGCTCAAGTCGTCCAACAGGCTATTCAGCTCGGTAGATTTGGCTTAGGAGTGTCGGGCAGGTCCGTCCCTGCGCCCCTTGTCAAGCGAGTTCGAGCAATCATGAACGGAGGCAGAGTTTGAACCTGCCGTCTGCGCAGCCGTCGTTGCACTACGCACCCGCGGGGGCGGCAATGCGCCTAACGACAGCGGCAGCAAATGCGGACCTCCAGTCAGCACCGCCGTGCACGGGCCGAGATCCCACCATCAAGCGCACGAGCGTTGCGAGCCCGGTCTCATCCCTACGAGGGGCCACGACATGGGGGGGACAGGCTCGGGGGGAACACTTCGAGCTGGAATCGGGATACGTTGCCGATAGATCGGCGATAGGCTCTCGATGCCGAATCCGCACGTCCCTGGGCGGATTGGGCTGTCGGGCTCCTACTGGCGATGGCTGGGCGATTGGGGGTCGATGCGTCTCCCCCCCTCAGCCTGTTCCTTGGTGGTTTTTGGGTCGTACGTAACTCGGGCCTCTGGAGGCCGTTCGGGACGATCCGGGCACCCCCGGAACGCTATCGGCGAGGCGCAGCAGCAGGAAAGCACTCCGAGGCTGGAACACCTCCGAGAACGGACGAAAACGTCTGCAAACTTCGAATTCCCCTAACGCTGGAACATCCTTCCCGTCCTCCGTGGCCTTGCCTGCCCTGCGCGCTTCGCGTCACCTGGGGGACGCTGGGCTTCTACCCTCAGCCTCTGGCGCAGCGTGCAGTCATCGTGCCACCCTAGAGAACGCCAAACAAGGAACGAAGAGGCCTTTCTGTCACGGCGAGCCTCGGCCACGAACAAGTTCCCCGACCCAGATCTGCGGAACGACCCGAAAGCCAGAGCTCTTCCTGAGCATGAAGCTGTCCTCATTTCAACGTCTTGATTGAACTTGGACTATCCTGTTCTGGGCTCATCCGAAGGCGTTCAGGCGGGATCCCAGCATGGCGGGCAGATCGCTCCGCCGAGCGGCGGTGGTGCGAGTGTCCTCCACGTCGAGCTGTGAGCTCGTGGTCCTCAACGGCCGTGGACGCTGTGGCAGCCTTTTCTGCCACCTTGTCCTTGGCGTACTTGTCAGTCTCCGCCGTGGTCTGGACAGCGCAGGGGGGAACATTCAGCAACCCGTTTGACGCCATCGCCGCCTCCAGAGACGGCGTGTCCAGCATACGAGCGCGCAGTGACCCCGCGGTGGTCGTCAGCCTGTGGGGCCAGCAACTCACGCCCGGCAGTGTCGCCACAGCGCGGACCAGCAAGCGGAACATAATCATCAGCACGAGGGGTCATTGCGGACTTGGCGTCACGACGGGGCTGTCGGACCGACGTCCTCTGGGCTCCCCTGTTCCTTTCCTGTAAGGCATGACAGACTGGATGTGCGCGATGGTCTCCCAGTCGGATTCGTTCGAATCGCTGGCGTCGGGCACTATATTTCCTCGGCGGGCGTCGCGTCCCTCCAGCGTCTGTCGCCCCGGCGGAGGATAGCAGCGATGCGGCCTGGGACAGCGGCCTGGGACAGCGGCCGTTAAGATTGAATTGGTGTGGAAGGTGACGGCCAGCGAGCGCGGGTCAAAGGCCAGGTCGGTCCGCGAGGAGTGTGAGGGGGGACGATGACGATGAGGATCAGATGAGGATGAGGATGAGCATGAGGATGAGGATGAGAGTGAGGATGAGAGTGAGGATGAGGATGAGTATGAGGATGATGCTGCTGCTGATGATGATGATGAGGATGCGGAGGAGGAGGAGGAGGAGGAGGAGGAGGAGAAGGAGGAGGAGGAGGGGGAGAAGAAGGAGGAGGAGAAAAACTTACCCCTCATCCTCTACCTACCTTCCCTACCCGGTGGGGAGGGGAATGCCGTTCCCTCCCTCGCCCGTCCTCGCTCTCCCCCTGCAGGAGGAGGAGGAGTGGGGCAAAGCACGTGCGCGGCGACTGGAGGCTCAACAGCCTTAAGGCTCAAGGCCTGGCCCAGTCCTGGTCCCCCGGAAGCCCATGGGCCGTGGAAAAGGAGCCCGACACGACTCGACGTGACGACGCCGAGGAACGACGAACTGAACGTCACCACGACAAGAAACGAGGAGGGTGACGAGGCGGGCCTGAGCTGGGTCGAGGCGCGAGCTCGGATCGGGCGGGCAGCGCATCGGCTCGCCACCGGGTCCTCCCGAGTCGAACCGCAGTCGGAGCGCCGCGCCCGGCCGAGGCCGGTGAAACGGAACCGGAGCCGACTCGGATCGGACTCGCGTCCCCCGCCGGCGAAGCGAATCGCAGCGGATCGCAGCGTGGGAGGCCCCCGCGAGGCCGCGAGGCTGCGATGGCAACGGGCCTCTGGAACTGCTCCGTGCCCGGCGACAGCCAGCAGCCGGCCTTCACGTTGACCTGCAGGGCGCCGTCGGCGCGGATGGCGAGCACCTTGCACCTGGCGCCCAGGTTTTGCCTCCGACCCCGGAGGACCGAGGAAGAGGCTTGTCTGTTGTCGTGCTGCGTTCTGCTTGGTACGTCTTCGATGTTTTCCTGGTCAACTTCTGAACGAGGACGTATGGTGTGAAGAGAAAATGGAAGGAAGAAGAAGCCAATCTCCAATGCGGGGTCCTCCCCAGCGGAGGGGTTCGCCCCGAGCCCGCACCTGATCCAGCGCCCTGTGGACTTCGAGTAGTACTCGCACGACTCGCCTGGCGGAGGAATTCTGCGACAAAGCGATTTCACAGCGCGAGGTGGAGGTGGATCATGGAGCACGTTTACGTTCTTAGCAAGTTCCTGCCTCGACGATGTGGGCCTGGTTTCTTGGAACAGAAGACAGGCGTAAACATAAACTTTCGACGGTCCACCCAGATTTCTTGGATCGGCGCTGACCCCCTCCCTGGCGCGCGGAGCGCGCCAGGGGTGCCCAGCGCAACCCATGAAATCCGCGCGGACCTTCAACATTTATGTATTTGCGTTAGTTTGCCCTCCTAGATTACCAAACTTCGCGCATCGCGTCCCGCGATCATCTTCGCGGCACCGCAACCTCACGCCGCCCCCTTGCAGAAGGGCAATCGTTCTGGCCCAGACCGCGACGCGGGAAGCGCGATTATCTTCGCACCCCTGAAGGTGCCCTTATTTGATGTTCTTCGATCTCTGACACCGCCTGAGCCGTTCATCCTCGAACGACCTCTCTGTTGCTGGGGGTCAAGCTCAACAGGCTGCTGGCCCACCTCTCGTGGTCGCGACTCTCGCGCCAAGGGTTCTGTCCTGTGGAGCCCCTTGGAATCCTCTGGACTTCTTTGGCATCCTCGGGCAAATTTGAGAATCCTCCGGGGTCCTGGTAGATGCCTCCTAGATGGGGTCGGTGCAAATGGAGTCGGAGGATCGCGCCGCATCGCCGATACATGGGCGATGCATCGGCGATTCATCGGCGATGCATCGGTGATGCACCGGCGATGCATCGTCGACGTCGGCGTGCATCGGCGACGTCGACGTGAAGCAACTCGGGCCCCACATCCAGCCGCATCGGCGATGCGTCGGCGATGCGGCGCGATCCTCCGACCCCCCTACTCGGACCCCCATTTAGGAAGCCTCGAGGCATCCTCGGGGAAAATGGGATTCTTCTGGAACCGAAAGAATCCGGGGGAAAGTGGGGAACCCTGGGGGATTGGAAAATCGGAGCGAACCCGGGGGAAAATGGGAGACTTGGGGGAACTGGAACACTGGAGCATACTGGGGACAAGGGAGAATCCTTTGGAAAATCGCCTGGAAGAACCCTTTGGACGCACCCTCTGTGGAGTCAGGAGGGGGAGGAGGAGGGGGAGGAGGAGGAGGCCTGAGGAGGAAGAGGAGGAGGAGGAGGAGGAGGAGGAGGAGGAGGAGGAGGAGGAGGAGGAGGAGGAGGAGGAGGATGGGCGCGTCCCGGGCCCCGCTGCCCGAGAGGCCCGGGCGCGCCGCTTTCGCCGCCGAGGGCGGGCCCGAGGCGCCCGGCCGACGGGCCACGCTCGCTCAGGGAGTCGGCCCGTCGCGGTGCGGAGGCTAGGTCGGGCACGTCCTCTGACAGGCGGGTTTTGGGCGAAACGTTCAGAGTAGTGATATATATATATATATAGATACATACATATATATGTATATATGAATGTGTGTATATATATATACATATATATATATATATATATATATATATATATCCGCGATGCTCCTGACTGCCGTTCCGCTGATCACCTACGGCTGTGGGCGCCGGCGGCTGCGTGCGCAGCCTCCCTCACGTGTTGGTTGTAATGATCGTCGTCGACGGGTGGCTCCTTGAACTTAATGGCGTGGTAGGTCTCGTAGCTGATGACTAGATGTAGCAAGCTCGTTCGGGGTGGAGCCCCAAGCCCCAGTATGTACAATGCGCCATTGGCCCTGCCCTCGGTCCGGGTCACCTCGAAGACCAGGTGGTGCAGCCTTGGGCAGATGATGTAGTGATCCCAGGAGTCCTCCGCCAAAAGGAAGCCGCAATTGAACAAGCACCCTCGCCGGTGTCTCTCATGCATTCTGTGGCTCGTGTGCCACCCTCTCATCCAGGACTTCAGCACGACCATGCGCTGGTATGCAGAGATCCTCCTGAGAGTCGGCAGGATGGTGTCCCAGCGGACTCGCCTCGCGTTCAGAATGCAATGCTCGTTCAGTCGTGGCTGGATGAAGTCTTTCAGCGGGGTGTTGAAGCGCACCCTGTGTATCTCGTCGTGTACTTGGGACTGGAAGGACTTCTTGCTCGGCCAGCGCGCGGGTGGCGTGGAAACCAATAGCCTGGCCCGCGCAATGCCTGCCGCCAGCGCGGGGCCTATCTTGGCGAGCGTGGTCACGGTGCCAGGCTCCGTCATAGGCTTAAGGATCCAGCAGTGAGCAGGCGCCTTCCAATGATCATCCCATGGTATTCCCCGTCGGTTCTGGGAAATCGCCTGTGGGGATCGGTGTGGTCCACTTGCGCAGGAAGTTCGCTGCGCGTGTGGTGTCTGTGGATTGCGTCGTGAAGGTGGACGCCCAGTAATTATGGAGATGCATGGCGATGTTGTCGGGTCCCCTAATGTGGCCGTCGTCTTCTGCTTCCTCAGCGTCGAGGATGATGGCCGCGAGCTTCAGCCTTTTGCCGAAGGGGGACCACAACTTGGCGAGCATGTTGAGCCTGGTGATGTTGCGCTGCACTTTGATGGAGTTGTTCTGCGCGCCTGGCCGCACTGCTCGGTCATCCATGGCGCGCTTTCGAGCGCTGGTGTCCGCCATCTTAGCCGATGCGTATAGCTCCTGGAAGGCCGTGGGGTTAGGGAGGCCTGTCACCTTCCCCTGGACGATGTGGATGTGCTTCTTGGCGATGTCGTGCATCGCCACAAGCTTTTTGGCCATGTAGTGGTCCTGCCTGGCAACCGCTCTGGCCATGCTGGAGAGAAGGAGCAGCTGAATGGGCTTGGACCGTAAAGCCGTGGGGTCTGCCATGAGCTCTGTGCGCGCTATGCGGCCAGCCTCCCTGATCATGCGCTTGTGGGTGTCCCATCTTGTCACCGTGTCCAGCTCGTCCAGTGGCACTGCTTGCACCAGCTCCTGTAGCGCGTCCTGGAAGTTGCGCGACTTTGCAATAGCTTTCGGGATGGGCTGCAGGTCGGTCGGGATATGTTGCTTGTCGCTGGATAGTGTGATGATCGGAGCGTGGTCGCTGAGCAGTTTGCGGTGGGTGAGCTGCGGGTCATCGCGGACATGCATCTGGAGTCGCACCTGCAGGATGTACCAACCAGGAAGAGAGGTATATGCGCGGTCGATCCTCGATAGCTTGGAGTTGGGTTGCCAGTAGTGCGTGTGCTTGTCTTCTGCAACAGCAGTAACCTGGTCCAGAATGTCTTGCCATGCCCGTTGATGGAGTTGCAGCCGGCGTCGTGACGGCTCAGAGGTTGTCTCATCGCCCCCGTGCGTGGCCGCCTCGCCAGAGCTGGGAGGGACCCCAGCCGCCGCGGCAGACAGAGGGGGGGATGGGGAAGGGCAGGGTCCCAGACCAGCATGGGCGTCGTCCCCGTCCTGCGGAGGAGGGTCGAGTCCAAGACGAGGCAAGTCAACATCGCCGTGAGGAAGGCGAGGTCTTGCTCCGTCTCGCCGCCGTGCGCCGTCAAGAGGTCCACGGGCCGGGTCGTCTAAGCGTAGAGCTGATTCCCCGGGCGCCAGGAAATTGAAGTCGCCGTGCATCCATAGCGAGTGCCGTGTGGTGGACTGGGCTGCTCGCTGGAGGTCTCGGGCTGCCTGTTGTGTGACTCTGCCCATCTGGCGTGCGTCAAGGCCGTAGTTGTGGATGTTTCACAGCGTCAGCGTGTGGGACCCGTGATCGATAACGATGCGGTGTACCCTGCTGGGAATGAGAATGTGATGGCGGGGCCTGCCGTTGGTGTAGGACTTGCGCACACCGGATAGCAGGCCGCCTGATATGTAGTCGTCCGTGGGGGAGCAGAGGAGGTAGAAAGTGGAGGCCAGCCGATGCAATAGACGTTCTACTTCCCGCTCAGATGCGTGAAGTTCCTGCACATGGAAGATGTCCGCCTGCCGCACCTGCTCCTCCAGGTAGTTGGCCTTCGCATGGGCCCTTTTCGGGTCGGAGTGGTTGAGCGCCCGCGCGTTCCAGCATAGAATCGCTGGCGCAACCTTGCTCCGATCTGGTACCGCGCAAGTGGCAGGGTTACCCCCACTGTATGTCCTTCTCGACGGACGCGGCCTCGTTCTCGATGTACCTGTCGAAAGGCTCACGGGAGGTGCCAAATTTGCCCAGCAAGGCCAAATTGTACTCCACCTTGACCACGCCAGGCTCGGGGGAGAAGATCTTGGCCAGGCGCTCT